GCGCACGGGTTAGATGGGGGCATTCTGGAAAGATCCCTTTGCGAGTTTAACTTGACGCTTGAAGGGGATCTCTTTCTTCTGTCCCGCACAGGGAATCCTCTTGGTATATGACATCACCAACCGCTGGTCCTTTGACGGCATAGACCGATGGATCAAGGAGATAGACGAGGTAAGAACTCCAAAATCTGCACTCGGTTGCCTTGAGCCGTCTGGGTGCTGCGTATCTGGCTCGGTGGGATTCTCTGTGTACTTATCGGTCCAGTTTGGCACACGGCAGAACATCTTGGTGGGCTAAGACTGTCCCATTGAAGCCAGGCACGTGAAGCTCAATGACAGCAGTTGCCCCACGGGTTAGATGGGGGCATTCTGGAAAGATCCCTTTGCGAGTTTAACTTGACGCTTGAAGGGGATCTCTTTCTTCTGTCCCGCACAGGGAATCCTCTTGGTATATGACATCACCAACCGCTGGTCCTTTGACGGCATAGACCGATGGATCAAGGAGATAGACGAGGTAAGAACTCCCAAATCTGCACTCGGTTGCCTTGAGCCATCTGGGTGCTGCGTATCTGGCTCGGTGGGACTCTGTGTACTTCTCGGTCTAGTTTGGCACACGGCAGGACATCTTGGTGGGCTGAGATTGTCCCATTGAAGCCAGGCATCATCCCCGCCTGCTTCTTTCCCGGGATCCAGCATTGAGCAGGAGGTGACTTGCTGTCGGCTGGGATTTACAGGTCGAGAGGGATGTTGTTTGTACCCAGTGGGGCAGGTGAGACGAAGACGCATCTACAGTTCCTGTTTGAGGGAGCAGAAGGCCCTCCTCTTTAAAACCAGCTTCTCGGTGGGGCGATGCAAGCTAGGCCATTCTGGGTTACAGAGAGCAGCCGGCGTGATGGTTCCTCCGTTCCCCGCTCCCGAAAGGAAAAGATGCCTTGCACTTCGGAAACTGGTTATCAGGGAGAAAAGTCTAGGCTAATTTGGCCCTGGTGCAGGCTAATTTGGCCCTGGTGCTAGCTCACAGTTTCTTAGCCTCCGGCTCACACATTTTTCTCTCAGCTCAGGGAGGATGACTCCAGAGCAAACTAACTTATGCAGTAGCCAAATTGCTGGCTTACAACTTGAATGCCAGTGGCTCACAAAGTAGAATTTTGTTGCTCACAAGACTCCACAGCTTAGAGGGAACATTGCCCGGGTGTGTACGTTTTCACCATGCAGGGTATTTCACGCATCCGCAGTCTGAACGTAGGCAGGCCGGGCACGGGCTGATACCCCAGTGGGGCCTCCGCGTAAACCTTAGTCTTTTGATCCAGCATTATCTGTCAGGCTGGCTCTCTATGCTTCACGAGGAAGGGGAAGCTAATGCGAGAGATGAAAGGCATGGCCAGAGAAGCATGGATCTTGCGCTCGTTGGCTGTTTTAGGCAGCTCCAAACCTCCGTTTTCTCCTCATTCCGTCAGCAGTAGGTCAAGGTCAGCCCATGTCCAGATACCAGGTTGCTGCACCCAGCAGTGCCTGGGACACACTCAGAGGAAAGGTGGCTATTTTCTCAAGGAAGCCAAGCCTTGCGGACTGCACTGCCCCTTTTAGGGGCAACCTCTCTTAGTCATATGAAGCAGTGAGGGACTTGGATTAAGCACCAGGACTGTGTGGATAAGAGGCACTGAATGACTAAGAGGTCTTGGAAGGCGGCCTTGGGTTTCTGTGGAATTGCAGACGTTCGTCCAAGATGTGCCTTTCTTTTCTTTTCATAAAGCACGCCCCGGGCGTGCCCCGCATCTTGGTCGGCAACAGGCTTCACCTGGCCTTCAAGCGGCAGGTCCCGACGGAGCAAGCCCGATCCTACGCGGAGAAGAACTGCATGACGTTCTTCGAGGTCAGCCCGTTGTGCAACTTCAACGTGATCGAGTCCTTTACGGAGCTGTCTCGCATCGTGCTCATGAGGCATGGCATGGAGAAGATCTGGAGGCCCAACAGAGGTAAGCGAGCAGGCTTCTCGAATTTGGTGGTCGGGCGCCCGGCAGTCTCTGCCAGGTTGCGCTAGAGGTGGCTGAGCAAGGATCAGTTCGAGCCCTGAGTGGCTGCACGACTGCTGGGATGGAGGCGGTGACGGTTTTTCCCCGTGTGCTAAAGAGCTCTTGGGTGCACGCTGGTCAAAGTCAGACCTTGATTCTGCTTGATAACGAGTATCCCATCTCCCATCGGGAGTTCTGTAGATATCCTCAGGGGTAATTTCCTGCAGGAGTGCACAGGAGCAGAGCTCCGGCAGCAAAGAGCCCAGGGGGCGGGGCACATGCAACAAGCCCCACCCTCTGCTCCCAGCAGCCCTCAGTCAGAGCAAGAAGCAGCCAGGTAAGCTGCAGAGCTCCCCCCCCCCCAGCTAGCAATCCAAAACAGTCCAGTGGCACCTTTAAGGCCAGGTATTATTCAGGCACAAGCTCTCCCTCCTCTGCGAGAACAGATCTGCACGTCC